TACGTGCTTAAGGTGGGACTAGAACTCCCGGTCTGGTGATTGGCCCAAAGTCTCCCAGCTGGCTTACGTGCTTAAGGTGGGACTAGAACTCCCGGTCTGGTGATTGGCCCAAAGTCTCCCAGCTGGCTTACGTGCTTAAGGCGGGACTAGAACTCCCGGTCTCCTGGTGATTGGCCCAAAGTCTCCCAGCTGGCTTACGTGCTTAAGGCGGGACTAGAACTCCCGATCTCCTGGTGATTGGCCCAAAGTCTCCCAGCTGTCTTTCACAGCTAAGGTGGGACTAGAACTTCCTGTCTCCTGGTGATTGGCCCAAAGTCTCCCAGCTGGCTTTCACACCTAAGGTAGAACTTCTTGTCTCCTGGTGATTGGCCCAAAGTCTCCTAGCCCGCTTTCATGTTAAGGTGGGTCTAGAACTCACCATCTCCCAGAGATTGGTCGAAAGTCACCCAGCTGGTTTTCATGCCTAAGGCAGGACTAGAACTCCTGGTGATTGGCCCAAAGTCTTCCAGGTGACTTTCCTGGCTAAAGGCAGGACTTGAACTCAGAATCTCCTGGTTTCTACCCTGATGTCTTAATCCCACAGTGGATAAATGTTCAGAAACTTTTCGTAACTCATCCTTTGATTGATTAGGTTTGTCGGAAGCTCCTGTCCGAATGTCTCGCAAAATCACCGTCCTGGTTATCGGCGCAGGAAACCGGGGCAAGAATTATTCTAATTATGCTTTATGTTACCCGGAACTCATGAAGGTAAAATTCTGGTTTGTGATTAATATAATTAGTCAAACCCCTCCTTTTCTTTTTATTTTGTACTAGCTGATAACCTGGGGTTGTCTGGGTCTGTATTTATCCCAATCCTGTATTAGAGGGAGCCCCCCCTGTGGAATACTGCGAAGCTGTTACCGTGGCAGCTCCATTGTGCTGTACAGTAGAAGCCATTTTAAGGCACAACAGGCTGTATCTTAACAGAACTTGAATCCAGAATGCACACGATCACTGTCAAAAGTATTGTGACTTGACACGATAGATATAATTCAGTCCTTTTCATTTCAGCGGCCCAGGCGGTCCAGAGTTATTCTGGAACACACACACACACACACAGAAACACACCCCACAGCCATTTTATATAGATAAATTTCGTTTAAAAGCAGGATTGTGTATTTTAATATTATTCTCCCGAATGCAACAAAATAAAAACTGCATTTGGGACATAACAAGTTTCCAGCTTCTTAATTTTTTTTCTTTTCATGAAAATATTTCACCTTCTTTATAAAAAAATCACAGGTGAGGGTCGACTGAACAATTGAGCCCCGAATTTCTGCCGCTAAGGGAGACATTTGTTAAGTGAGCTTTGCCCCCCTTTACGACCTTCCTTGACCCCTGTTGTTAAGTGAATCACCGTCGTCGTGAAATTAGTAACACGGTTGTTAAGGGAATCCGTTTCCCCCCGTTGACTTTGCTGGTCAGAAGGTCGCGACACTAAAACGGTCGTAAATATGAGTCAGTTGCCAAGCCTCTGAATTTTGTACACGTGACCACGGGGAGGTCGCAAGTGTGAAAAACGATCCTTATTCCCTTTTTTTCAGTGCTGTGGTAACTTTGGACGGTCACTAAATGAACGTTGTAAGTCGAGGACTAGCAGCAATGTCTGACACAGTTGTGGGTTTTGCGTGTAATTTTTTTTTGGGGGGGTGAGACTCGTCATTTCAGGTAGTCCTCGATTTACGACCACAGGCCAGAATTTCTGTTGTTAAGTGAGTCGTATCTCATTCGGACAGGTTTTCCTACTCCGACAGCGTTACTAAAATGGGCCTCTTTTTCCCCAGGTGGTTGGCGTGGCTGATCCTCGGGTCTTCGTCCGTCAAAAACTGCAAGAGGCACATAAAATCCCGGCGGAAAATGTCTTCGACGGTGAGGGGTCGGCTAACTTTTATTCTTCCTTTTCCTCCCAGTGCAATAAATAAATAAATCATGCTTTTTAAAATTACGCTTTTAAATTATCCTTTTTAAAATTTTTCGAAGGCTTAAAAATATTTAAAAAACAAAACAAAGTGGTTTAAATTATTTTTTTAGAAAACTAAAATTGTTTTGAAAACCCAGAGAGGGCCACAGCTGAGCCCAGATTTTCTGTGGCCTAAGTGAGAACGTCCGCTCAGTGAAATTTGACCCGTTTTATGACCTTTCTCGCTGCGGTTATTAAGCGAACCGCTGCAATTGTTGCCTTAGTGACACGGTCGTTAAGTGAATCTGGATTCCTCCGTGGACCTTTTGCTCGTCGGAAGGTCGCCAAGGGGAATGGCGTGACCCTGCCTGCGACCGTCGTAAATACAAATCTGTTGCCAAGCGTCTGAATTGTGATCACAGGGATACCGCAACGGTCGTAAGAGTGAAAAAGTGTCATAAGTCCTTAAGTCGTTACTTTGAACAGTCACTAAAAGAATGGTTGTAAATTGAGGACTGCCTTTAATGCATTGAAGTTACAAGAAAGCGGATCTTGACTGAATGTTTAGGAATAAACAACAGAAATTTGCACTGAGCACGGGGTTGGTTTGGATGACCTCCAGGTTTCCAGCTCTGATTGGAATTCCCCCAATTCCTGCAATATTTTTAGCGGCTCCTTTCTTCTTTTAAAGATTGGACTGGCGCTGCGGAACGGGAAAAGTTTGCCGACGGCGTGATTATAGCAACTCCAGACAGACTCCATAAGGTCAGTCCCCAAATTCTCCACCTGCTCCTCTTACCGGTTTTTTTAACTGTTGTCGTAAGAATTGTAAACACACAAAATTAATTTTCCACTGGAATTGCATTGCAGTTCGCAAAGCATTTGACTCCCCAAGAGAGAGAAAACGGCCAAAATAGGATCATATCACCTGGGTATATGAGCCCCCAGGCTCTAACTAGCTTTTGAATATCGATATGGCCTTAATATGGATTTTTATTAAGTTGCGACAAACCTTACTGGAACAGTGTGTGGCAAGACGCTGTGAAGGAGAGGCACAGGAAGCAAGGCGTGGGTGTAGGATAGAACAGAAGTGAAACTGCCGATAGTTTAAGGCATTATAGGAACTTTTTGCATTTTTCCTATGTGCTTCTCTCTTTGTAACATTCCAAAATGAACTTCTCCTTTTCGAAATGTTAAATGTTTGTCTCGTGTATGGAAACGCCTTGAGAATGCACAGTGTGGAACACGGTGGAGCCCAGGCAGTCCAGATTTTGGTCTGTGAACGCGCCGAACTCGATGCATCAATAAACCTGTTTCTCTTGCACCTTCGTGGTCTCACGTCCTGTTTGCCTTGAGCATTGTGGCGAAAGCCTCAATCGGCTGCAACAGTAAGAATTGTAAACACACAAATTAATTTTCCACTGGAATTGCATTGCAGTTTGCAAGCGNTCTCTCTCTCTGTGTGTCTCTCTCTTTCTTTTCTCTCTCTCTCTTTCTCGAAACAGTTTGCCGGCACCGACAAAGACGGCACTAAGCGAGGCATGGGTGTGGATATCTCCCTCCTGAGCTGTCAATATTTCCTCGCCCAGATCCTGGTCTCCATCGTCATGGGCCCTCTAACAGCAGCCGTGGGCAGTGCCAATGGGGTCATGTACTTTTCCAGCGTGGTCTCTTTCGTGGGCTGCTTGTATTCCTCGCTCTGCGTCGTTTACGAAATCCCTCCAGGGGAGGACCTGGCTGAGGAGCAGCAGCCTCTGATGCTGACTGTATGAAAGAGTGCAAAAAGCAAAAAAAAAATTAGCATTTCCGGCCCCAATGTGCCATGCTCTCTCTCTCTCTCTCCGTCTCTGTCTTTTTTTGATGGGGGGAAGGATAATGCTAGATGCATATCTAATAAAAAATAAAATATCCAAGCTGGCTGATTTGGTTTTGGTTTTTTGTGGGGGTAGAATATCAAAATGTCAAAGGGTGCAGGGGGGAGTCTGAGAGGCCATCTAGTCTAACCCACTGCTCTGGATCTCAAGGAGGGGCTACTCCCTTTTTATTGACTCAGAAATAGGAGGGCAAAATTCCTGATTCATACTATGGAATATGCTGCCTGGGGGATTCTGGGAATTGAAGTCTTAAAGCATGAAGGCTGGGGGATTCTGGGAACTGAAGACGGGTAGGGGATTCTGGGAATTGAAGTTTTAAAGCATGCAGGCTGGGAAATTCTGGGAATCGAAGCCTTAAAGCATGCAGGCTGGGGGATTCTGGGAATTGTACTCCACATAGGCTGGCTGGGGAATTTGGCTGTTGACGTCCACACATCACAAAAGTTGAGGAAGTAGAGAAAAACTAATTTAGAGGGGGGGGAAATAATTATGCACCATCTATTTGTCCACAAGGANAGAAACAGAGAGAGAGACAGACAGAGAGAGACAGAGAGAGAGAGAGAGAAAAGTCAGAAAGAAAGAGAGAGAGAGAGAGAGAGAGAGTGAGAGGGAGGGAGGGAGGGAGAGAGATGGGTTTGATTCCTTCATCTGGGAGAAGTTTTGACAACTTTAAGATGTGATTTCAACTCCCAGGAATGAGATCCTGCCTTGCTCTATGGCAGCTTGAAGATGACCGGACTTCAATTCCCAGAATTCCCCAGCCAGCCATGCTGGGGGAATTCTGGGAGTTGAAGTCCTCTAGTTGCTGAGTTTGAGAAACAAAGATCTCTACAACTCTCCTTCGTCCTACGGCTTAAACCCACGACAGCCAGGAGAGGTAGGCCAGCCAGTAGGTTAAACTACGCCCCCAATGGGGTTACATGGATGTAAGCTGGCCGCAGGTACCAATCCAAGAATCGTGGCTGGCCAATCCTGGTTTGTTGTGTATCTGGTGGGGAAACGTAGCTTACCACGCTCTGGAAGGGCCCTCAGTCCTCCAACCCTGTTTGAAAAGCCATCTTCTAACCACCTTCTGCTCCATCCTTCTCCTTTCCACCCCTCTGGTGACGTGTCTCTTTTCCGACACACCGTGGCGTTCTCTGTTGTGTCCACTCCCAGGCTGGTTGTCGTTCGAAGGCATGCTCCTCTTCTACACCGACTTCATGGGGGAGGTGGTCTACCAAGGGAACCCCAAGGCCCCCCCGGATTCAGACGAGCGCCAGAGGTACAATGCGGGCGTAACCATGGGATGCTGGGGAATGTGCGTTTATGCCTTCAGCGCAGCGCTGTATTCAGGTAATCGGCAGGAGTTTTGACGTGGGTGTGGTGGGGAGGACACAGGGTGTGTGTTAGGGGGTGGGTTTTCAGAGGGGGGGATGTCTTGAGCTCTTTCTTTTTCTTTCTTTCTCTCTTCCTTCTTTCCTTCCTCCTTTCCTCCGTCCATCCATCCCTCTCTTCCTATCTCCTTCCTTTCTTCCTCCTTTCTTCCCTCCTCCCCTTTTTTCATCCCTCCCCCTCTCCTTTCCTTCACCCTTCCCTCATCTTTCCTTCCTCCCTTCCTCACCTTCCTTCCTCCCTTGCCCTCTCCCTTCCTTCCTGTCTTTCCTTCCTCTCTCCTTCCTTCCTCTTTCTTCTGTCCTTCCTTCCTCCTTTCCTCTATGCCACCCTCCGTCCCTCCCTCTTGCCTTCCTTCATTTTCTTCCTCCCTTCCTCTCTCCTTCCTTCCTCTGTCCCTCCCTCTCTCCTTTGTCCCTTCCTCTCTCCTTCCTTTCTTCCTCCTTCCCTCCCTCCCTCCTTTCATCTTCACCTCCTTTCTCCTGAATGAAACTGAACGTGGCTCATAAACAATGCACAAAAATACACTATTGTGTATTTTTCTATTTAAAAAAACGGCGTAGATGAAAAGACCAGGGCTAGGTTCATTCATTCCAAACGATGTATTTGCAATTCATGCATTTCCAAGTTGCAGCGTCAGCTTAAAGGTATGGCATGAGCTGGGTTGAACCGACTTCCCTTCCTTTGGCAGCTTCCCTCGAAAAACTGGAGGAATATTTCAGCATCCGTACGCTGTATTTTATAGCCTATTTAGTTTTTGGACTGGGCACCGGTCTGGCTACCTTGACCCGGAATATCTACGCAATCCTGTCGCTCTGCGTCACTTACGGCGTGTTGTTTTCTACACTCTGCACGCTGCCTTATTCCTTGCTGTGCGACTACTATCAAAGTAAGCAGGTATGGCAATTGCTCCAATTCCTCAGCCGAAGGGTCTCTGGGCATGTGCCGAGGGCTCTCACCTTGGCAGAGAGGGGTGGGGGGAAAGTCCCTTAGAAAAGGACCGTCTCTCTCTAAGCGTTTAGAAGTGGTTTAGAAATGAGAGACTGTCTTACTCTACGGCAGTTTGAAGACTTCAATTCCCAGAATTCCCTGGGGAATGGCTGGGGGATTCTGGGAATTGAAGTCCCCTGTCATTAAAGCATGCATGCTGGAGAATTCTGGGAATTGAAGCCCACTCTCCTTAAAGCATGCTGCCTGAGGAATTCTGGGAATTGAAGTCCCCTCATCTTTCAATGGGACCACAAGATTGAGAAACATGGCTGTATCATTACGGTATTTTCTAGGCATCTTTGTCGATAATCTCTTTTTATATCGCCATGCAGTTACTGTATCTGGGGCAGGAAGCTTTGCAATTTTTTAAACTTTTAACCTTCTCTCTCTCTCCCTCCCCTCTTTCTCTCTTGTCTCTCTCTGTCTTTTCTCTCTCTCTCTTTCTTTCTCTCTCTCTGTCTTTCTCTCTCTGTCTCTCTCTTTCTCTCTGTCTCTTTTTTCTTTCTCTCTCTCTTTTTTCTTTCTCTCTCTGTCTCTGTCTTTCTCTGTCTCTCTTTATCTCTCTCTCTCTTCTTTCTCCCTTTCTCGCTCTTTCTCTCTTTCTCTCTGTCTGTCTCTTTCTGTCTTTTTCTCTCTCGCTCTCTCTTTTTCTCTGTCTCTGTCTTTCTCTGTCTCTCTCTCTCTATCTTTCTCTCTGTCTTTTCTCTCCCTCTCTTTCTCTCTCTCTCTCTGTCTTTCTCTCTCTGTCTGTCTTTTTCTCTGTCTGTCTGTGTCTCTCTGTCTTTCTTTCTCTCTGTCTCTCTGTCTCTTTCTTTCTCTCTGTCTCTCTTTTTTCTTTCTCTCTCTCTTTTTTCTTTCTCTCTTTCTCTGTCTGTCTCTTTCTGTCTTTTTCTCTCTCTTTCTCTGTCTTTCTCTGTCTCTCTCTCTATCTTTCTCTCTGTCTCTCTCTCTCTGTCTTTTCTCTCTCTTTCTTTCTCTCTCTCTCTCTGTCCTTCTCTCTGTGTCTGTCTTTTTCTCTCTCTGTCTGTCTGTGTCTCTCTGTCTTTCTCTCTCTCTTTCTCTCTCTCTCTTTTTTCTTTCTCTCTCTCTCTTTTCTTTCTCTCTCTCTCTCTTTCTTTCCCTTTCTTTCTTTCTCTCTGTCTGTCTGTCTCTTTCTGTCTTTCTCTCTCTCTCTCTCTCTCTCTCTCTGTGTGTCTCTCTCTTTCTTTTCTCTCTCTCTCTCTTTTTCTCTGTCTCTCTCTCTNTAATATTATTTTGAATTTTAATATTATTTAATATTATTTTAATACACCTTTTTTTCTCTCCAGTTTTGAGATTTTTCTTTCCTTAAATCAGATTAATCACTCCTAACCACTAGGCAGCATTGCATAAGTGGTTTTTTTTGTTGGGAATGCGTGAGATATATAGGCTTCCCCATATCTTAAATCTTATATACAGGTTAATCTTCAGCTTACGACCCACGATGGAGCCCAAAATTTCTGTTGCAAAGCAGGACGGTTGTTGGAATGAGTTTTAGGACATTTTCTTGTTAACATTATTGCATGTTGAGTATTTTATGGGGATTTGAACTTACAAGTCTTCACGTCTCTGGTATGAAGCCCTGGCAGATAAACCAGCTTAGCTTTCTACCGTTAAGAGGGAAAGAACTAAGAAACCAAGATTCATAGCTTGTTGACACCGAAACCAAAGTAGCTCTAAATCTCTAAAATGCAACATCTTTCATTTTCAGCCTTTCTAGCTTATCAATTGCCTTTTCCTCCCACTCTAGATAGGTTTCTGGCATTTTGCGCATTCCTTCGTCCGGGGCAATTGGAGAAACGAAACCGAAAGTTCTTTCTCTTTATTGGCTAAATCCTGCCACGATATCGACCTGATCCATTATTGGATGGGGAGTAAAAGGTAGGAGTGTTTTCAAACCGTCGCTTCCTCTTTCTTTTCCCCCACCCCTTATAGAAGTTTTCCTCTTGGTCAAAATAATCCTCTTGGTCATTTTTCTTGGAAGTTGGGTGACAGGTAGCATTTAGCATTTAGCAATCAGCTCTGCCTTCCTTGAGCTTTGCAGAATGAAAAGAGCGATGTGCTTTTCGTTTTTTTCTCGCCATGTACACGTTTTATTTATTTGTTGTGTTTATGCCGTGTATATTGGAGGTGGTGATCCTTTGAGAACTGTATGCATGGAAATGTCATTTTAATGTATGCCGCTTAGTGTCCTTCCAATCAGGGGTGGGTTCCTGCCAGTTCTAACCTCTTCTATAGAAGAGGTTCCACAAATCTACAGTGCCGGTTAGAACCGGTTCCAGCTCCCTCCCACCACCCGTCCACACACCGTCAAGATGAAGAGCGAGGGATTCTGGGAGTTGAAGTCCACAAGTCTTAAAGCTGTCAAGTTTGAACACCCCTGTGGTTTTTTATCTAAAGGGTTAGGGGTGCGAGGGTCTTGTANTCCATTCTATTCCATTCTTTTGAAAAATGCTTTGCTTATGAATTAGGTGACGGAAGAAGATTGTAAAGCGGTTGTCCAGGCGTGCAAAAGTAACCACGTGATCCTTGCCGTGTGTCACGTCCTCCGTTACCATCCAATCATCCTGAAGATCAAGGTGATGCATTCTTAAGAAACCCAATTTGGGCAGTGGGGTTGGGCTAGATGACCTCTCTTGCCTTGACAGCATGATGGCTCTCTCTCTTTCCAACAGCTGGCGATGTTTAACCCGAATATTAAGAGGGACCAGCATTTGAATCTGGGGTTTTTTTCCCCCCGATCAAACTTTCATCCCAAAGGCCTCGAGTAATGATGTTTTAACGCATGATTTAATTTAAAAGATATACAAATAGGACGGAGGAGGGGGGAAAAACAGGCTGAAATGGCCCTTCTCAAAATTGACATTTTTTTTTTTTAACAGGAGCCGAAGGGAATAACTGAACAGCTTTCATGAACCCACACCCACATAAAAAAAGGAAGAAGGGAAAAAATGGAAACCAAACTTTTCTCTCTTTTTAGGAATTGCTTGATGCTGGCTTGATTGGTGACGTCTGCCATATTCAACATCTGGAACCTGTAAGAATTCTTTTAGAAAACGTACTTGATATAAGAAAGCGTGTCCTTTGCTCCTGTCGTGCCTCCTTTTCCAATTTAATACTTTTTTTTTTAATATACATTTTTATTTTTATTAAACAGACAACACACACACTCAACAATAAAAAAAAGACAGAAAAAAAACCATCACATACAGCATGTCGTTTGGTTACAAGTGTTTTTGCATCCATATTCTCGAATAATATTTACCATCACAGATTTTTCATCTAGTATAACTAAATACCTCACTTTCATTGTTTCATATGTTCCATTACAATTAGTATTATTTTTTCCCAATAAAACATAATTCCTTTACATTCTTGATCGTCTATTTGATAACAGTATACCTTTATATAATCCCATTTAATAGAAAAAAAAAATTTTT